AATAAGCTTTACCCTCACAAAGCTCCTTTTACTTGAAAATATTCAACATCCAACCCTTCTCAAAATAGAAATAAAAGATCTACAAACATTTCAAGTATGCGCTCATGTAATCCATTAATTCAAGTACTCCAACTCATTTTCATCTCCTCTCCAATTTTCCTTCATTGTAAAATTGGATATGATTATTTTCTATGCAGCATAGTGGATATTTTTTTTTATTTTGGATAGCAAAAAGAGCGAGAAGATAGCATCGGACACAGACTGCGACATCGAGAGTGTGAGTTGGTATTATTCATTTCGCATAATAGTACGGAAATGTTTTGGATGCTCAAAAAAGATCTAAATATCGCATTTCTGTCAGCATATAAATGAGATTACTATGTATTTGGGTCAAATGTTAGCTGTCTTTTGAACTCATTCGTTTAAACCTCGACAAACGATAGAGTAAAAAAAAATATGGAAAGTGAAGGGTGAGAGAGGAATCGATCGATATTTGGTCCTCAAATGTACATTTATTGCCGCTCTTCATGTTTCATAAAATTTATTCCGCTTTAAAAAAATCTATCGCATAAGAAAAATCATTTTTCTTGTGATAGAAAAAGCAAATACGGAAGGTGCCACCTCCTCCTTCTTCTAACATCCGACAATGTTGACGATCTAACGAGTGAAAATGAAATTTATTGGAATCCATTATGCCACTTATTCAGTTACGAGTTTTTTTTTGTTGAAACTTTTTCCATAAAATTATTACGTGGAAACCAAATGGTACAAGAATCGGTGTAAATTATCAATTCACGAGACTTTTGAAAGTTGGCTCTTATGTATGTGCGAGTATTAAAGGGGGATATGATGATAGTAAAGATTGTGTTAGTCAAGCCTCCCTTCCCCCTCCTCTCCTATTGAGTCTTTTATGATTTTTGAGACAAGAGTTTATTGTAATTGAGACTAAATCTGAGCCATTCTCTCTGGTTTATACAGGTGCGTATCCAGAAATTCAGTGAAGACAGGGGGGGGGGGGCAAGGGAAGTGAAATGTTTTTGTGTGGACGATAAAATTTGAAGGGCGAGGCTAGCTTGGGGTTTTTTTAAAGAAAACCTTTACCTATCCAGATCAATTATGATCTAGAGGTGCGCTAGGGCGTTTCGCAGCTAATTAAAGTTTAACGAGAGAGGATGCTCTAAACCTCTGCGCTCAAACCTAGCTCTACAATTTATAGTGGAATCCGATGACATTTCTGTCTGAAGATTTCGAAAAAGGACAAGTGAAAAATTTCCCATTCCCAATCTCGAACCTATGATCGCTGTGTCTTTATTGCAATAATCAGGTACAGAAGTACAAAGCCATTCCGCCACCGAGCCACTTTAGTTCTCTTCTTAAAATAATCATTCTTAATTAAAGAAATTTATTTTTATTCAAAAGGGGGTGATGGAGGGTTACTCCTGACTACACCTCTAAGTTAACAAAGGATGAATCAATGTTTCATCATTCAATGTTTAACTTAGTTATCCATTGGATTAAGAGTTAATCTGGAATTGACTTTACTAGATTTTCTGTAGCAATGAAAATAAAATTATCACAACCCAATAGTATGTGAGCATCTATTCCCATTCCTTTCAATTCAGGATTGAAATAACTTATTGAAAAATATGATGCTGAAAATATGGTGTGAAAGCAGTTGTAGCTTAGTGGATAGATTTTTCGTTCATAATTGAGATGTTTATGTTGTTGAATACCAAAAATTCTTTTCATTTTATTATTATTATTCCTCTATATGCTTAGGGGAATTGAATTTTTTGTCAGAAATAGCTGAGACCAGACTTTATTGGATTTACTATTAAGTTCAATTTGCCTTCTGTCTATTTTCTTGGTAGGATAATGAAAGAGGGAGATGTTACTTTGGGGGAAAGTAAAATTATTATTCTAAATGATTATAAATTGAACTTTTTAATTAAAACTGATCTTAATAGGTGTGAAGCTGAATGCGGCTATGAGCTCAAGCGCGCCCCAGCCAAACAAGTAAGTGTAAAACTGTGTAAAGGAGGCCCACAGCCAAGGAGGAAGGATGGATTTGGGTGACAAATCCACCTCCGTCAGCAAAAATTTACTAGGATTTTTATAAAAATAATATCCCAAATATTACAACTCCCCCGCCCCATCCTCTAAATTTTCAATCCATAATTCTTTGTTGTTTTAAGTTTAGGATTTTTAAATAAAAATTATTTCTTTACTTTTTCAGACTCACATCATCACATTCATCGTTATTCAGTTCGTAACCTTCAAACTCAAATCTCCTTCCACAAAAAACATCAATAAAAAATAAGCCTTAAGCTTGTAATTTAATTTCGATTGCAAAGGTATGTCATAGGCACAAGCATTCATGCTTGTGGCTTGTATAACATGCAGAACAAATTATCAGAATATTTCCAAACAATTTTCGTTGATTTTACGTTTTCATTTTCGTAATGAAAATTTTTCAGATACTTTACAGGCTTCCACATGAGGATGTAAAAATTCTCTTGATAATATCAAATTTCTTAGAGATGTAAATTTCATTTTTGAATGTTTCCCAGATAGAATTAAGCCCATAATAATGCTATTTTATGAGAGAGCAGTAGAGTTTTGGGTATTGAAAAATATTTTTTGTGCTTCATTCTGGTTTTTGTGTTTAAATTTTTGATGTTGCCTCAAAACTTTTTTTTTGTGTACTTTACTGCTAATGAATTCATTAGATGTGGAATGATTGGGTTTACAGAGTAAAGAGAAAATTGATTGCATGCTGCATTTGGATGTAAAGTAATGAATACTTTTGGATAAAGTAAGAATATTGCTTGTTTGCTCTTTGGAATTGGGATGGGAGCTCATTTTTCATTACATTGGGTACGAATTTCCCAACAGATTAAATTTCATCAATTTTTTGAAATTTATGCTGAATTTAAATATTCAAAGAATTTTAAATTCCATAAAATGAAGCAATTAATATTTTATATTGATGCACTCAAAGAAGAGAGTCAAATAATATTAATATAAGATTCAATAATTCATAAAATGAAATTTCTACAGATTCATAATTCCATTTGTACCTATTAAAAAAAATTTCTATATTGCCAAAAAGTTTTCAATCAATTGAATTTCGACTTGTGTAATTGATACTTTTTAGTCTTGGAAAGAAGCTTATTGAGCCCTTAAGGAGCTTTTCTATCGTCGATAAATGTCTTTTATATTAAGGAAAGTAATTTTATGAGATATGATATTTTTTTGTGGTCAAGGTCAATTTAAGCAAAATAATATTTTTTTTATGATTTTATTGAGTTATTCTGAAGCCAGACTGAGACATTTATGTGACAAAAATAATTTAACATTTTTACAAAATTTTATGAATAAATTTGTTATTTTTTCAAGTCACATTTTTTAAATAAGGTGCCGTTTCTAGGGCTACGTTGCGCTCACTTCCCTTAACTCAGATTAATTTTATTTAAATCCAAAACTGTAGAACACTGAAATTAATTTCTGCACTAAGGTACCTCGGGTGAATTTGAAACCGAGCCCTGATCTTCAAAAAGATTTTTAAATTTTAATTTTTTTAACATCATAAATTCCGATTTATCGAGTCCAAGGCGTGGAAACTATCCCAAGTATCCCATTTATCACATACATTCCAAAAATATTCAAAATAATCCCTGAGCCTGAATGATTTAGAATTGAGATATCCCATCATATCCTGAAATTACACATCAAATACACTAAGGATACGTCGGGATATTTTTATTATCGTGCAAACATGCTCAGGAATTTTTTGAATATTTTTGGGATATGTGGGATAAATAGGATATTTGGGATAGTTTCCACGCCTTGATCGAGTCAAAGCAAATGCATTTTCAGTCTCACTTAATTTTTAAATTGCATGTACATTTAATAAAATACATCAAAATGATTTTACAAGGATACACCAATTTATAAGAGTATCCCATATGGATTTTCAATTAAATCATGACAAGGCTTTCACGATTTCTCGTTACCGCAATTTTCGAGATAGAAAGCAAATCTTTTAAGTGATTTATCTCGATGAATAAAAATATTAATTCAAAAATTTTAATGTCAAATTATTTTATTTGAAATGTGTCATTATTTAAATACAAAAAAATCTTAAAATTTTTTAGGAGAATGCTTGATATTTCAGTTTAAATTTCTGTCTCGTTCCCAATGATTTTGCGAGACTGGGAAATTGTGAAAATCCAATCATGACTTTTATTTTTTTTTTAAATTTAAAAATATCATTTTTGGGATTTTTTCATTTAAATCTCAATCAAATTAAAGAATCAACGAGAGAATACTGGTCGTCAAGTTACTAAACACATCTTTACTTTACTACCGAACTCATCAAACTCATATCCACCTCTTAAACCTTTAAATACAAATTTCCTTCAATTTAAATTTAAACTTCATGAATTTTCCCATAACACATCCAACAAACATCACAGCCATCAACCATAGCTGACTAATAGAACATAAAACTCAATTGACATCGCCACGCGCTGATGAGAGAGAAAAAAAAACATTTCATATTAAGTGAGCTTTAGGCACTTTTCATTTCAGATTTTTCTTCTCCACAAGACTCACTAGACCACACATAAAGCAATAACTTTCTGGTCTACACAATGTTATTACTTTATTTTTAGAAAAGAAAAAAAAATTGGAATCAATAAAAGGAGGAAAAAGAGTGAAAAGAGCACAGAAAAATAAGAGAACAAAATGGAAAACTTTTTACATTATTTTATGGTACTTTGTGAACTTAAATCTCTTAGAGCCAATGCTAAGTGGAGCACATATACAAAAGGGGGGTCCAATGGATGTTTTGTAATTATCTAGAAATTTCAAAAATCTTAATTTTTTTAATTTTTCACAAATTTTAATTTTAAAATGTTTTAAATCAATAATTATTTATGTCACGTAATCCCCGCACAAACCCCCCAAAAAATAAAAGAAGTTTCAGTCATACATACATGTTCATTTCGTATTGGCAATTCCATTTCTTTTTAGCATTGATGCAGTTTAAATGCTTTTCCTCACTTCTTCCTTTCAAATTCATTTTATTGCTTCACAAATAAAATCTCATTGTTGTAAAAAAATATAGCATTAAATGCTGTGAATCTGAGTTGGATCTCATTATTTTACAGACTGCTTATGTATGCAGCAGCAGCCAATGTCCTGCAATTGAACAGCAAAGACATGAAACCAACTCTGTTCGAAATAGTGAGGAAAATCTAGAAAATGTTGATTCCACTGATTTTATGAGCAGAACGAATGTGAAAATAACTATTGTTAACTTTTCCTCGTCCTATTTTGTATGTTTTTCTTTTCTTTCCTTTTCTTTCTCTTGAGTAGCACATCACAATTCACTTAATATTGTACACGAGCAACGCCAAACAAAAGCTGCAGCACTAGGAAATATTTTACTTCATTTAAGTATTCCTTCTTTAGCAACGATGATGCAATTTGCATTATGTCGATCTCAACATGTCAACGAATGAATGTGAACTAACGGGATTGTGACATGTACGAAACATATTTGTAGGCACTTGAATGACACGCTGAGTAGCAGCGGCATTATTTAAATGCATACATAAAAATTTACTTCCTCATTTAACATTATGTACATGCAGATTTTTTTTGTGTTGCTTATCAAAAGACCTTTCCATCATCCATGAATAGAAATAATGCTGTACTAAGGATGTGGATGGATGCAGGGGTGGATATAAAACATTTTGTGCATATATTAGAATGAGAGATGTGGTTAAAAATTTAAAAAATTGTTACAAGAAGCCCAACCCCCTAAATACATCCCTAAACTCAAGAATCGTGATTTTTTCTCTATATACATGCAGCATAAAGTATGTAATGAACAGCCTCTTAAACAAAAGTGCAATACAGATTGCAAACGGTGCGCATTATTGTGTGCATGTCAAATGACTCTCCGATTCCCTTCAACTGTATTAGTGAAGGATGTCGAGAGGGAAAAAAAATTTGTTTCCTTTGACTGTACACATGTTAAGTGACTGTGTCATGTGCATGTAGCTATAATGGTAAGCAAATTATGATGAATTGAGGTACTTAATAGATGCTCCTGCGCTCAACAACAACTAATATATGTGTATGTGAGAATTAATATCCAAAATATTATACATAAATTGAAATAAAAGGCGTTATGTGTGGATGAATTATTACATCTGCATGTATTGAGGGGATGGAAAGAGGAAACATAATATCAATTGATGAGAATTGGGATAAGAAGATGAAAAATAAATGTGGGCGACTATTTTATCCTCAGCGTTGTAGGATGTTAAGATCATCATTACCATTTTAAATCTAGACGAAAATAGAACGAAACTAGGAAAATATTGTAGGATATTTTTGGATCATATTTTGTATTGAAAATGTAGGTGTGAGAAAATGTGTTGGCGGCAGATAATGCTTCTGTGAAATTAAATTGAGAACATGATCGGAAATTAAAACGGATTGGAGTGCTTAACATATAGGAAAGCACGAATTGACAATGAGAAGGAATGTTGTTTATTAAAATATTTAAGAATAAGTTTATTAATATTGGAAAAATATTATTTTTGATGATTAGAGACTAGACAGAACCCCACGCACACATATCTCCATTTATAGACACTAAATTGATATAAAATCCGAATTATTACAATAAAAATAAAATAAATTATTTTTTTCCCGTCTCGTTCATGGACATTGAGAAGGATTAACGAGATTCGATGATATGAAATTTGATTTATAATGTTTTTTTTTGTTCAATAATATGATTTTTTTCATCGGGTGCTGCTATAGCTTTGCGTTACACGCTCCACTAGATATATTGATGTGAAGTCATGAAAAAAAAAATAATATTTTAATGGCATTGTGGACTCGACTTTTGTTGTTTTTGAGCATTAAATCAACATTTTTATTAGCTTTGTTTAATCTTGCTTAATTACTATCAATATTAAAATAGATTTATTGATTCTATAGATTTATTTGGGGTTTTATGGATTATATTTTTGATCAGATTGTCATTTATTGTCTTAACGGGAATCTATTTAGGCGTCTGCACTATCGTATTAATCTAAACTCTACATGGTTACAGTAAGTAAAGTAAGTAATGTTGTGAGCACTGTGCGAATCCTTGTCATATCAACAACACCATGTGAAGTGATTGAGGGATCGGTCTATGATGGGAATCGAACACACGTTCTCACAGAAGACGGTTAAATATATTCAGCCTGCTGCTTAACCACCAGCGCCACAGGTACCTTACTCTCACACTGGCAGATTTGCCTATATATGAACTCGATACCCTAGATTCCACTATGATCCGTCACCACAGGGTCGATGAATCACTGAAGTCTTTTAATACATAAAATCCAAAGACCAAGCTCCTAAACAGCCCTAAAAATAATTCAACACAGAAGTAATCTCAAAAATTTCAATGCTGCTCAGCACCAATCTTGGAGTGATTTTTTTATGATCAAAAAAACATTTTTTTTTTGTGTGAGGCATTAACTTTTATAGCGCCTCATGAAAAGTTTAAAGATTGCTCAAGGTCGTTACATCCTAGCATCATACATAACACATAACATGGCGTTCGAGATCGACACAGAAATTTTTTTTTTCTTATATTCTTAAAGTACGCGGCATTTTAAAGGAAAAAATCTTATATCGTACCCATATCCTTGACGCTGCATGATAAATTTAAATAAAAATTGTGAAGAAAATGTCATATTTTATGAGTTCATGAGCTCTTTACAATGAGTGTACGGATATACAAGCTTGGATCGAGATTTTGAGAAAGTTTCATTCTTTGGAGTAATTTTTTGAAAACAACGCACCTGAATGAAATAATAAATCATACAAGTCAAGAGATTTTTTTTTTTGGGTAGATGGGTCTCTTGAATATGAGGACTCTTGAAGGAATGAATGAGAAGATTTAAAATTGAGATATGGTGCATAATCTTGTGGTAATGTTGAAGTAAGACAGAAGGAAGTTAAGTTAAAGATTTAAGATTTTTTTTATCAAATGAGGATTTGTGGATATTGTTGAGGTACACCAAGCATATTTGAAAGATTCTGTTGTTTTAAATCTGGGGTTCATTCACTTATGATGTCTAAAATTAAAAGTCAATCCTCAAATTCCAAAATAATAGACGAAATTCATGAAAAAAGGAAGCAGAGCGACTAGTAATGAGAAATTCAAGCTTCATCACAATGTTCCTGTTTATTATGCCTCAATTATTCGAAATTTAATTTTTTAAAAATTGTCTCAGCCTAATAATCATCTCAAACATCCCCTAAAAATAGACTCCTTCTCAGAAAACATACACAATTTTACGGTAACTAAGCTTGATTAAACGAACCAGAATATCACATTCATGACAGAACCCAATTTACAAAATAAAATGTGATATGTTTATGAAATTTCATACTTGAGAAACACATTAAATTTTGTAGCTTTAATGATATTTGACTTCTCAGAATCATATGCTTTTTAGGCAATAATCTGATAAAATTAAGCTTTAAAAAGTAAACACACTTTGAAAATAAATACACGCAAAATTCGGATATAAAAAAAAAGAAAATTGCAATGAAAAATATAAAATTATATTAATGTCAAGATGAAAATAAACTGAGGTGAACGCGACGTGGGATGACCGGAAAAAATTTTTTATTGTACGGATTTATTCAGATTTTATTTGCTAAAAGAGTCAGAATTTTGTTTTGATTGCTCATTTCTATGGATATAATAACAATAATATTTTGAAATGTAATCTTCCATTATTTTTTTTTATATCGAGATTTAAATAAATTGCGTACATGTGCCTGAATTATCATGATTACATTTTGGGGTATGGTAAGGTCAGGTAAAATTAGGCTGACCATCAGCTTGGTTTTTTGGAGAACAGTCTTCTTTTTTTTAAATTTTCAAAAATAAAATAATTTGGTTTTGTTCTAATTTTTCCATAAACCGTATAAAATTGGTAGACACGTAGGATGTCCTCTTTAGGTCTTCTAATTTTTCAAAAAAAAAAATCTGGTCATCATAGGTAAGGTTGATTGTGTTCAGAATTTGACTTGGAATGACAATCGAAATGGCAAAAATTGGTTAATCGATCAGGAATATTGCACTAACCCTGCGTAACTCTGGCATGGTGCTAAATTTAAATCAATTCGTGCTAGATTCGATTTAAATCTAGCACCATGCCAGAGTCATGCCGGACTTATATTCGATAATCCGACTTGTGCTATTCCGTCTCTAAATTACTTTCTATATCCAACAGAACTAACACACCCCAGCCTCCTAGCTACACCCCTGCTAAAGCTTATATTAACAACCAGCAATTACAAGACCTTGTTCCATTTAAGATAACTGCAATGCACTAAAAATGCCCGAGTTATAAAAGTTTCCAGCAAAGACAATTTAATTAACAGATCATCGAAATTACATTGGTAATCATGTCACGTACAAAATTAAAAGAGTGAAAATTTTCTACGTTTTGACTTTAAAAATGAAAAGTTTATGGTTTCTAACTATTAGCTTGGCTGTGTAAATGAATACTGGATGGGAAATAAAAAAATTAAGTTTATGGGAAAACTTGCTGATTAAGTAAAGCTTATGGTTATGTTTTTGGCAATTGGAAACGTTCTTTTTGTTCTAAATGAGGAGAAGCTTAAGGTGTTGGTGGTTTAATGATTTTTCATAGTTTTGGGATGTGTGAATGGAGATGAAATTCATGTGAATTGAGAATATTGGCCAAAAGACAAAACTAATCTCGCTGCAATGCTTTCATCAGGATTAAATTTATTCCACGCAAATTCAAAATCAATAGGCATCCTAATGATGATCAGCTATCATCAATTCATACATTATTTAAAATTATTTCAGGCTATTAATAGATATTCAATCATTAACGTTACTATCTCGTCATATTTATCTTTTCAGCTTTTGCATCTCATTTCAAATAAACAAAAGACCGTAAATTCAAAAATGCTTCCATCAACAAAAATCTGGAGCTTACATCATTTGCAAAAGTTTGAAATTCTGAATAAAAATCAACACAAACAAATTTTTGTTAAATTTTAAAATGCAGAAAAAAATTTGTTTTTGAAATTTGATGCTTATTTAAATTCACGATATTTAATTTAAAGCAACTTATACGATGCAAAAACAAAATGGCTTACTTTGAGATTGTTAAGCAAATATTTGCTTTTATTTGGAATAAATACGGTGGATTTGAAATTTGGTTTTGAAGGTTTTTTGTGTTTGAATTTAATTTTTGCAACCGAAAAATGACTTTCTCGATTCAAACCTTTAATTATTCCCAAATATTAAAATTTACTCAAATTGAATCTGACTCAAATCAAATCGCAGTGCTTCCCGTTGAAAATCTGGGCTCTTCGCATATTATTATTAAACTTAGTTCAGTCAAATTCACAACGAATCTATTTATACAGCTTCAAGATATTTTA